AATTATAATTGTGAACATTTAACCTTTTAACCGTAATGACAAAATAACTTCTTACCATAGTTAAAATAATCAATCAAGTCTAATTTGACTTAGCACTTTCTGTTGGGAAATTAGTATGATTATACATAATTTTAACTAACAAATTAATATCAATATCACAAACTACAAAAATATATAAACAAACATAAAATAACAATCAATTTAGAATGGAATAAAATAAATATTATAAATTAGAAATAGCTAGCTTGTCAGTTTGAAAGATGTGTGATCACTGTCCTAAAGCAGCTGAACCTCTCCATGGACACCAACTCCTCCAAGATCTAACCCAGATGCTCGTAGAAGTATCTCCTCAATGGTTACGCTCACTGGAAAGAAAGGGTGAATTTGACTTGAATCGTATGTAGCCCAAAATACAAAAATACTTATAGTAATATAATTGTACATGTGCAATACAAGTGGCAGAAGGTTTTGGTGGCCAGAAAATATAATGGAAAAAGGTTTTAACAAAGAAAGTTAGAAAGACAAAAGTTAACAAAAAATGGACTACAAGTTGAATGCCACGGACAGTAGAGCGCGGCTTGGGCCTCCATTAGCATGCTTATATAGCCATTGTGATTTGTAACAGCCAACCCATTAAAAGCATATTTTTAATACATGAAATCAATAGCCAAATATTTCTTCCACTCAACGGGCCTTGTAACCGAAAACTTAAATTGAAAGTTTTAAAAACTTCTTTATAATTCTAGCAATGCCCTACAAGTTTTAAAACTTGGAATTTTTTTTTAATATATAAATATATAGGAAATAAGGGCAACAATAATATTGTGCAATGAGTGTATGTGTCTTTCGGACTTGAACCACACTTAGTGTTAACAATCTCCTCCTGAAGGATCATAGTGATTAAAGGGTTGAACTAGACCTTTTGAACCAGAGTTCAACATGTCACACAAACAATATTGGTTAGTGGTGGCTTTAACCACGAGAGTGAAAGTTTTAGAGAAGTCGATGCCTTGAAGTTGTGACTACCCCAGAGCAACCAACCGGGCATTTTGGCAATCAATATCACCATTTGGAAGAACCTTAGTCTTATAGACCCAACGAGTCCCAATATTGTGCATCTCAAGTCGTTCAGGAACTGATGATACCTTAAATATGCTCAAGGTTGATCTCGAAAATTCAAGTCATGCATTCCTAGATCAGGATCCCAACTCACCATAGATAAGCATGAAGCTCGAGGTCAGACCTCCCATCCCTGCAGCTTCATTTCAAGAAGGATAGCACATAAGATAGTTGGCTTCCACCCAAGAGCAATCCCAAATAGTAACGGTCGTATATCTAGGCAGAAGAGTCGCAACTACCCTAACACCCTCCACATCGGTTGCATGATAGTAGCAACCTTACAAGGAGGAGGCAAGGATCTTGCCAAAGGTCAAGCTATAAATAAGGGGCATAGCCCCCAATAGAAAACACACAAGCAATTGTTGTTAGAACAACACTCTGTAATCTCATTTCTTTTTAATATAAGCCCTAAGAGCACGAGACTCCCTTTAAGAGTGGATTAGTCGAACTCCCGAGCAAGTGAACCACTATAAACTCTTTCTATCTTAACCCCTTTCCCTTGTCCAAAACCTAGGAGCGGAGCCCAGGAGCTTAGACTAAGTTATTCAGTACCGATCAATCTCTTAACTCTGCTCTATTGTGTTATAGACATTATCAGTTGGCGCCGTTTGTGGGAACGACTGTTTTTATAAACTTATTCTAACAATCGTTAGTAATTGATGGTTTCTACAAGCAATATGAGCAGAAGTCAAATAAACTCCCTCTGATTGCAGAATCAACAAGAAGCTGCCACTGCAACACAGTAGAAAAATCTTTGTGATTTCCTGCCTAAGCTAGAAGTTGGCCTACTCATGGTAGATCCTCCTTCGAATAACTAACTTGAGGCCCTTCACCTAGCCAATCAACGCCTCCTCCAACAGAATAAGGAGTTAATGAACCTCCTGCAACGTCCCCAAAAGGCACAACCAGCCTAGGATGGTCCCCAACATAGGGAACATCAACATCTCAATCCCTTAAGGGAAAATACAGAGGAGAATGAGCATAGCAAATCATTCGACAACATATGCCGATGAGCTCCAAAGAACATAGAGGATGAGGAGGTACAAAGCCAGAACAAGGGGACCCCATAAGAACGAGTTTCCCCCACACCAGCAGGAAAGAAAGGAGCAGTACTGGGAGTAATGCTTCAGGGAGATTCAACAAGAGTTCAACCATATGAAGGAGGCTGTAAGAGGAAAAACCCCAATGACTATGGACGCCCTGGTCCAATAGGCAGAGCCTCCTTTTACCGCAGATGTGTTGCATTTTTCCCTTTCACCAAAGTTTATAATGCCTCAATTAGAGACCTTTGAAGGAATAAAGGATCTCATGGACCATCTCAATACCTATAAAAACCAAATAGAGTTACATGTGTATCAAGACCCAATACATTGTCGAGCTTTTGCCATCACTTTGAAGGGCTTAGCCTTAGCCTGGTTCAATTGGTTGACCCCAACATCCATTTCCTCCTTTAGGGAGCTCTCCATCTCATTCGTCTCGCACTTCATAGGAGCTCAGACCTAACGAAAGCCGAGCTGCCACTTATTAAATGTGAAACAAGGACCCAATGAGATACTATGAAGTTACGTTCAGATGTTCAATTCAGAAGTGTCTAACAATGATATTAGTTGAGGTATAAGACTCGAATACTTGTAAGTTGACTTTGGGATAGTGGATTAAGCTTTGATAAACTAAGAAGATTCCTTATGTTTTTTCCTGAATAGGGTTTCCATGTCAATAAATTGCTTGTGTTCTTTACCCTTTTTTCATACACACACTTGCAATTTGACCACACACGCTTACTATGTGTTTAATTAGATGAATGTGTGATATCTAAATCATCCATAGTTGTGCATGCAATGGTTTGGGTCATTGGGTTGGGATTCCCATGTGAGATTGAGTGTTTGAGTATTTCAACTGACAAATTAACAATATTAATCTTCATGGGTTCTTGGGGTCGTGGTGGTTAAAAATAAAGTTCTCACCATTAATTAACTAATTATTACGAGGAGAGGTAACTGTGGTAATAATAGGTTTTTATTTATGATTAACAAAGCGTAATGTTTAAAAAACGTAATAGGTAGTGTCGTGCGCTCCACATGTATAATCATGAGAAAAGATCCACTTAATTTCTCCCTCTTCCGAAACAACAACTTTGAAACACATAGTTGTTGAGATTGTTGATCAAACTACTTCTTCTTCTTGTTTGTTATTGAGCGAAACTGGAACTTTTGAACCTGACTAATAATTTGTATTGCTTCAAGTTGTGTATAAATACTTTTCTAAAAATAATATTTTTCCCCATCAGATTGAATAAGGTGCACATGAAAAATCCACAAATATATTTTCAAGATGTAATGAAACCTGACTTGTTTGCATTTTTCATACCGACAAAAACAACCTAGAACATCCACTAAAAAAACTAAATAGCTAAGAATTGGAATACTAATTCTGCAAAAATTCAGAATTCTAGATGCAAGACAAAATGAACAGAATGTTGCATAGGGAGAAGGAGAGAAATATGAATTCTACCTTTGGTTTTTGGGAAGGTATTGTATTTGTAGAACCATTGGTGTTTATTAGTCAATGGGTGCCGGATTCAAATTTCTGTTAATTTGAATTTTGCACGTTTGAATTTCAACCGTTGATCTAACAGTCATGTCCATTTGTAATGGACGCACCCGATCATCGCACCCGTTGGCACCTGCACATCCGATCAACTTGATTCATAACTGTTTACGTGCAAAGTGCGTCATGTAGGCACCATCGCGCCCAGCGGCGACAGCTCACATGAGAAGATAAAAGTACGCCATTAAAGTGCCCCATCGTGTGCGGGAGGTGCTTCGAACCGTGGTTTGATCCATGGTCTATAGTGTATCATTTGTATTAAAGTTAATTTACTTACTCCACTATCCTTTATATACCTACAAAATTTTTCTCGTTCTTCTTCTGAAATGGGATTGGTGCCAAAGACACCTTTGCACCTTTTTCAAAACACACGAGCTTTTCACAAATATCCACCAGCAAAAGACTTTATTTAGAAAACCTAGTAACACTAATCTCTTCCTAATCTCTAAAATCTTTAGGTGCTCATCCCATTTTTTATGTTTTTTGTGAGAACAGTTAGTTGGCTTATAATAGTTGTTTCCTCAAGTCCAATTTCTCAAATTCCTGGAATTTGAGGATAGGATTGATGTTGTCCTATTATACCATAATTAATATCATTTGAATTCCAAGTCTTCGTTTTATGTCCCAACCCACGCCCACTCAAGCAATTATGGAGTCTAGCAATCAATGGTCTTTGATCTAATAATGCTCCTTACCTTTTTGAAGGTTTTGCCTTCTTGAAATCAAGAGTTTAAGTCTCATCCCCTCCCTCTCCCTCTCAAAAAAAATAATACGGAGTTTTGCAACATTCTCAACATGGTAATGATTTATAAAATTTATCGACAAGATATAAAGATTCACGAATCCCTTGAAAAACTATTTAGGTAATGATGTGTTTTTTTGGTAGCGGGCAATCGTCTCAATCACGTTTCATTTGGACTCATGATGCAATGCCGACTTTAAATGCACATTATCCCCAAATCATATACCATTTTACTTTTTTGATTTTATGCAACAAGTGAAACTCAAACTCGTAACGTAGTGATTTATAAGTCGCATTCTTGTTCAATCACACAACCAACCCATACGAGTTTTCGTTCAATGATGGCACTTGCCTTTTATCTCTTGTACTATTTTTAGTCTTTGTAGAATTTCCATGAACCTTTGGAAAACTTGGGAATACCAAGACCTATGGTCTTGTTTGTGCATTTTTTTCACTCTATAAAAGAAAGCCCTTGGCTTTGCACCACAAGATAAATTTTTCAGGTGTTAGAAGCAGAAAAAAGAAAGAGAAAATGGGTGTTCAAACAGGAGTTCTGATGAGTGATGATGGGGGGCATAGTGATATGCCTTGCCTAAGTTGTATGCGCTATCCAGGGGACTGCAACTTTCTACAATCCCCCTTATTTCCGTGAGTAAACAGTATGCATTGCTATATAGTTCAATTAAATTAGTTGCACAAGGTGATATAATGTAGTGTGAAGCCTAACAGTACTAAATGATTGGCAAAATTTTAGATATTGTTTGGTAAACTGTGTTTTTTATTCAATTCACTCTTGTTTTTGTAACCTAGGGGTATGCGCAATGCTTGATCAGCTTATTTCTTCGTTCTCATTATATTTTGCTTGTTTCATAGTGAACTAGGTGTTGCTTTGTAGTTTTTCCTGATATTCGGGTTCTTGCACTTAAATTTGTTTATTATTTCTTTTTTACTTTTTGATGTGCTGTTGTTATTGAATACCGGAACCTTGGCCATGTTGTTATATTCCTAACAAGTGGTATCTTTTTCATGACTTTCTGAATGAGACGTGTAAATGCTTTGTAATTTGGACAAGAAATGACTCATAAATATTGGAATTCTTGAATTGTGTAATAAGACCACTTGTCAATAGTGGTTTTCTGTTTTGGCAGCCTCAGCATGCTTCCCCACCCAAAGAATTGGAGGCCTGGACGTCGCCGGAGCAAGTGACGTCCTGTGGAACAACAGGGCAGCATGTGGAAGAAGGTACAGAGTCAGATGCATTGGTGCTACAAATCTAGCGCCCAGACCTTGCAAAATCACGACTGTAGATGTAACGATCATTGATTATTGTTTGCGGTGCAATGGTACCGTTAATCTCTCTCGAGACGCCTTCTCCAAGATTGCTAATCTTGATGCCGGCAATATCAGGATTAAATATAATCAGTAAGCATTGTTCGATTACTAATAAATTTAGCATTGGATGGCGTCTATCATTATAATTGTGATAATCCAATCCCAAATCACTTTATGAAGTGTGTGTGCGTGCGCAAGAGTATGTTTGTATGAAAGGTTTGATAAAAAAAAAAGGGCAACCTAGTCTACCATACTTCTGTCACTGTGGGGCATCGGAGAGGGTCGAGCTTGATAAGTTTGAGTCTTAAATCTTAATTGTCAAAATATTTTAAAGTTATATAAGTCTAACTCGACGGAGACAATCTTGTAATATGAAAGTTACAATGAGTTCTCTTTTTTTTGCTCCTGTGCATGTGTTTGTGTTTTGCAGGAGATGAAGGACTGGGTAGCAGGAAGGCTAGCTTGGTGAATGGTGAATGGTGACTGATAATGGCCTAGAAATAAATAACAATCTTGAAAAGCTTTGTCTCTCATGAATGAAGCCAAGCTGGTATTGCAACTACATACAATGTAATGTTTTGTGTCTACCTAACCAATGCAATAAGGGGATATGTGAAATACTAGTATGATTCTCTGGATTCCATCTCTATAAACCTAGAGAAAATTGAAACATTTCACTTCTCTATAAGGGGCTTCTGATTTATGGTGACTCGTTTTTATGGTTAGGGTATGGTTTGCGAAGAAGAAAAAGAAGGTGGATTAGAGCATTTTGGGTAATTGCAATTTCTTATGATTTTTCTTTTGCTTATGAGCAATCATAGAAAACAGGACAATAGAACCGCATAATCCTCGTGTGATTTTGAACTATAATTGTGAACACTTAACCTTTTTACCGTAATAACAAAATAACTTCCTACCAGAGTTAAAATAATCAAGCAAGTGTAATTCGACTTAGCACTTTCTGAGGGAGAAGAATCTCACTCTAATCTCATACTTGACTCAAAGATGTCTCTGTTGACATAACCGAGCAAGAAGTCATCATCATAGCAGCGTAAGACCCGATACCATTTTTCGATGTTATAAATATGACCAAAAAATCTCAATGGACAATTCTTCTTCTATTTATCAATTGTATAATGTCAAATAATATTTCGCAACGTCAAGACCAATGCATCTCAATATCTTTCCGATCAAAGATTGATATATACCATCATCTTTAGGAATGGAAGTAGACCGAAGCGGGACGGAGGGTGAAGTCTCCATCCCAGTTCCTGCTTAAAAAACCTCCGAATCTCTGGTCTACCCCCATTAACGGGTATAGTTTCATCCCTATCCCCGTCTGCGAGTAAATTTATAATCCTTACTGCCGTCCAGTCCCTCGTCTTTACCTCCGCCCCCACCCTGGTCCACCTTACCCGCCCAAATTCAAATCCAAGCCAACATATTCCAAAATTCTAAATAAGTTTAACGTTCTCAACAATCCAACATAATTATAGAATATTATAATATAATTAAAAGTTTGTCATTTATAACATAATATAATTAAAATTTTGTCTACTTTGTAAATCCAACACAATATCATTTAACATAACATAATCCAACATAAAAAAATATAAAAATACAAAGATCTACACTTTTACAAGACAAAATCATGAAAAAAAATCAAAAAACAAAACAATTTTCAAAATAAAAAATTATTCAATAATATGTAAATTTATATTTACAACAACATGTATAATAATAATAATAACGGGTAAAGCGGAGCGGGGAGGAGCAAGGAGGAGGCTGGGCGGGGGTAAATGTCAGTTCATCCCCGCCTTCATCCCCACACGGGTTTATACGAGTATATCCGTTTACGTCCACCATCCAATACGTAGGTCCTACCCCCGATCCAAACACAGTGAATTTAGACGAATACCCATTTTTACCCGGTTCAGTGTCATCCCTAATCACCTTGAACCAATATTCCTACCCTCATTATCCTTTAAACCGACTTTCTATTATATTTCTCTCTCGTCTCTCCTCTTTCTTTCTCCTTAATCTCCACACTCGAATTCTACTCTTTTCCATCAAATTCAGTGACCCATTGTGAAGGTCTTGATATACTGGGGAAGGGAATTCACCAGGTTATAGCAGGCTATGTAGAAGGTGTATCAAAAGACAGTGTGATCAGACAAAGTAGAACATCTTTCCGTTACGCTTGTTACTGCCCACAACAAGAATCAAAATCTTCCTCTAATGTCGTTTCGCAACTCATCCATAATGGAATCACTTAAAAAAAATCAAACTTGATCAAATTCAATTGAAAAGTTTAGCAGCCATACTAAACTCCGCAAAGTATTTTTCAAATTTATAATCTAAGTCAATAAAGATGATTGGATCAAGAGCTCCATTAATTTTTTTCAATCCGGCCTATTGACCCAAATAGCCCATTTGATTTGAAATACAAAATTTTGAAATTCAATTTGGTACGCAAAAGTTTTACTCAATATAACACTTGCCTAGTTCATGAATTAAAATGAGGCACATATTCCATGATATGCCATTGCTGAGTGCCAGAAGTAACCCGAAAATACTTGTCCCTATGATGTGGGAGTAACAACTCGATAAACAACATTTGTTACTCATCCAGGGCCAGGCAAAACATGCCTGGCCTACACTTAACTTTTGGCATATCTCTTGGCCCACACCCAAGCCTGGGGGGCAGCTCATTGTGTGGTATTTATGTTTGTTATGTGGTAGTTGAACATAGAGCATGGTGCAGTTTTTACGCTAACACATATTAGCGATTTGAGTATTTGAATGAACTTCGGTATTGCTAGTTCGATGGGCTTAGGGGTCTGGCTATGGTTCATGTCATATTTTAAAAAGTCCCTATGGATTCTCTCCATCTAAGCTCCTCTAGATGGTTTTCCCACCTGGTGAGAGTTGCGATGGTCACACACAAAGACTTTAAATTTGGCGCCCCCTAAAAAACATAAAAATAAAAAAAGCAGGGTCAACTCATGCTACGTTCTACTTTGCCCAGATCCAACGCAGTTCTTGTTTGATTTAGCTAAGATTATACCAAAATGAGATATGCATCAAAGAAACTGACTCTGCAGCAGACAACTGAAATTTGAAAGGCAAAGAGCTGTAATGGATATACTTCGAGTATCAATGACCTCACTACAATTATTTGTGCACGGACAAGTAGATGAGGTGGTGTTAGGTCGTAAATATAAAACCAGAAAATGGCCCTCAACTGTTCTCGTGACCATAATAACACCAGTCATCAATGTTCTAACTTCCAAGTCCCTCGACAACCCCTCGTCTTTGTGCATAAAAAAAATGCTGCTCAATAAATGCAACAGCCTGTGACCAATGACCATGATGACTTTGTTTGGCAATTTTCTGCAAACCTTTTGGATTTCAGTAATTGGGAGGAAAATGAAAGAAGGGTTGTTAGAGATTCAAAATTTCAACCCATTTTTCATTTAAAACTCCTGTTAGAAATCAATTAGTGGAATACTTTTAACTACTGTACCGTACTTTTTTGAGATCAGCTAATTTTATGCTCCGTTTAGTACGAAGAATAAAAAATATGAACGATACATTTTTTATCTTTTAAGGATGGAAAGTAGGAAGGATACACTTTCCTTCTTTTGTATTTAATTGGATGAATGAAAAAATAAAAATAACTATTTTTTTTTTTGTGCTAGCTAAGATTAAGGGTGGCAATCGAATCGTGTCGTATTAGATTCGTGGAGTTATTACGGGTTTGTGTCGAATATTAGTCAAATCTAACTTAATTTATTTAACTAATTGTGTCGTGTCGAATTGCGAGTTAACATATTTATTTTAGTATTGAGTTCAAGTCGTGTCATCGTGTTAAGTCAAAAAAATTTACTTTTAGTTAAAATGGAAAAAATATTTTTTTTTTTAATTTAAATTTTTTATTTTAATTTTTTAATTTTTTTAATTTTTATTTTTTTTAATTTATTTTGAAAAATTTTTAATATATATATATATATATATATAGACAAATAAGATACATTTTAACACAAATAATTAATTTTTTATTCATTTTCCTTCCAATTTTGGAGGGATTGATTTTGATGAGTTAGAAGTAAAGTTAATTCATCTACTTTTCCATCTTTCTTACTTTTCTTCCTTACCAAACATGATATTTTATTTACCATTTTAATTTTTCCATCCTTCCAACTTTCTATCGTATCAAATGGAGCATTAGTAATTTATGTCATTTCTAAATGGAAGGGTCATTGCCTACTTTAATTTAGTTCAGACTGCATTTATGTATGTAGTGACTTATTTCTAACCATTAAATTTACAGAAAAAAATAAGTCAAGGAAAAAAAAAAAAGAACACATTTTGTTAACCCTAGTAACGTTATTGAAAAGAACATTGATGGCCCATAAAGTATGTATTAAGTCTCACTTTGACCCCCAATTTTCGAACTTTTCATTTTGGTCCTTACAGTTTCAAAACTGTTTCCAAATGATCCAATTGCTATGATACATTTGAAGGTTGAGAAACGAAAATAAGGCTGAGAGCATACTTCGAGACGAGAACCACCAACCTATATAACTCCGTTAAAATAGAATTATGGTCTCTTGCTAGGAGCCATTTTCAAGATATAGTGGGGGCATAAAAATGCATTCACTAGGGTTCAAAAGGCAGAGAATTAGAAACATTTTCATTAAATAAAACTTACTAAAAACCCTCCCCATTTTTTTTTTTTTTTTCAGTTTCTTTCATGCAATAAAACCTTAACAATGTCTTAATGCATGGTACATTGGCCAAGAATTGTAGGTGAGGTTGAATTTGCAAACCATCTTCACCTTCCAATATTGACACCCCCACATCCAATCATCACCAAGCACTTCAAACGTGATGGAAAAGCAAGAAAGCGAATATGACTCAGATAAATCACCATAACTTGCAGCAAAATTTGTTAATATGTGGCATTCAGCATGAAAATGGCAAAGATTTGTTTTGCCTTTGGTGTCAATCTGGACAACTGTTGGTCAATGTAATAACATTAAGAGCAATGTTATTGACACTTTATTTTCTGACCTAATTTGTTGATTTAATTCATTGTGATCTTTGAATTAATTGTAGACTCCATCAAACATTAAAACTTAGCGTTGATCCAATAGTTTCAATGAAACCACATCATTAGGTCAACAAATTAGATCAAATTTTTATGTCTAAATAACATTAGTCTTTCAATTGATGCAACGTTAAATCCTTTCTTGACGATGAAAACCAACCACACCGAAAGGCTTTTATGTTTAGTCACTAGCAAAGGCCCCAGGGAAAAGGGAAAATTATCAAATTAGGTCAAGACCAAGACCCTAAGAATCTCTATCCGTACCAAGACGCTACTTCCTATTTTTCACCAATCAGAGCAAGATACATATTAAATTTTTGTATTTTCTTGTTTTTGACGTTATTATTTTCTTGATCAACTAGTTACAAACAAACCCCAACAAAATCTATGGGCAATAAGAAATCTATGGGCTATCCTTCAACTGATGCAAACAAGAAAGAGGACATTTTTAATATCGTTCAAAAAAATGAAAGAAAAAAGCAGTGGAAGTTTTTCATGAAAAGAAAGAAATAAACAATCTTCCATTCCTAATTGGCTTTGGCAAACAAGCAATTTCGCAGTGAAATGCTTACACTTTGTATTGAGATATCTTCCGAATTTCGATTCCTTTTGTTTATTCAATCTTTTTCGCATCCCAGAATATAGAATTCAATGAGTAAAAGTATCTTAAAAAACTACAATAAAAGATGAAAAAGAAAAAGAAATTAGACATTTGGTGAAAAAGACGAGTGAACAACCTTATTTTGTCTTCCCATTATCCAGAGCAGAGTCCTCCTTGCAAAAGATGGTGGATTTTCTTGAGAATCCAAACTGCCGGAGCTTTGCATTTCCTCATCACAGCCCAATTCACTCCCCCCATTTTCCCACCTCCCAATGTCAATCTCAGAGATTGTCCTCCTAGTCCCATTCCCACCATTTTTGGGCTTCAAATCATCAGCAGCCCTAAAACTCCGGTGCATCGGAAACCTAAACGAAAACGCCCGTCTCGACGACTCCACCATGGTTGAATTAGCCCTATCTTTCTTCCCCCGGAGCCAAATCTTTGACACTGAAAAGCTCTCTCTCTTGCTCCTCCCAATAGCATTAGCACCATTGCCATGACTAATAAAACTACCACTACCACCACAACCTTGAATGTCTATACTTCTAAATGCTTCAAAACCATTGAATTCTCTTCTTGAATCACAATCACATTCGGACATTGCCAGCTTATGTCCGGGTGTCAATGGCAAAGAAGCCTTCTTACTTGATTGTTTCTTCATTGGAGTTCTAACAGGTACTTGTAATGTTGAATTCTCATCCATTACATAAGCAAAAGACCCCATAGAAAAGCACCTCCTTGTATCAACATTGTTGTCACTACTACCTTCACCTCCACCATCAACATTCCTAAACTTCCCAAGCTTAACAGGCATAACCTTTTCATCTGAACCCACATTTTTTTGTTGATTTTCATCGTCTTTGGCCCGAATTTCGCAAGATTTATGCAAAATATCTGTTCTAGCAGACCCGAATTCATCGTTGCTGTGAGCACCCAGATGGGAATTTGCTATTGCAACTGAATTGGTGGCACCCAAAACACCCTCTCTGTCTGAGATAATCTCTCTAGAACTCTCACTACCAGATTCAAGAACAAGGACTATTGGTGAACAACAATTGTTGGGGGAGAAGTCAGAAAGCAAGCTAGCTCTACAAAGGGGGCAAGTGGAGTGAGACAAGAGCCAAGTATCTATACACTCCATGTGAAAGGCATGGCTACATTTGGGCAATAATCTAAGCTTATCTTCAGATTCAAACTCACATAAACAAACAGCACAATCAAAAGGGTTTTTTACACCAATAATTGCTTTATAATTGAAAACAGGAAGTGTGTCTATGAAGGACTGATCTACACCAGCATCATGGAGCTGAAACAGCTGTTGTAACTGACCTTGAAGAGCAGTCACATTGTCAAACTCATCTGGGTCTCTATTTGGGGGTCTCAGGATGAATCTAACAAGAAGATGAAGCAAACCAGATAGAAAGAAGATAATAGAGAGTATTATAATGATGAGCAGAACACTAGGGCTTACCTTGCTGTTCAAACTGAAACCATTGGAGTGAACAGGGGGGGGGGTGGATGATAAAGCAAATAAGGTTGCTGTGATGGAGAGAGAAAGCTTTTTTCTTTGATTTCAAGAAAAACCCAATACATAATTTCTAGGTAAAGTGAGAGAAACCTCACTAAGATTGCAGATTTAGATCTGAATCATATGATATCAGGGAGTTCATCTGTTAATTGGCTAAATGGCCAACTGAAGAACCCCAGGAAGTTATCTAAACTTACAAAGAAATGGGTATGCAAGAATTAAGATACAAGCAGGGCGTGATAAGTATTTTATGCGTTCCCCAGTTTTTTTCACTGGGAAAAGGAACCTGCAAGTCAAAACTAGAGAGAAAGAAAGAGAGAGGGAGAGACAGAGATTATTGAAATTGCTGGTAGAAATTAAATGTGATGCGATGCGCAGAAGGTAAGATTTCAAATTGGGGCAATAAATATACCAGTAGAGCAAGCATTCAATGGATTTTTGGTAGATGAACATTACAGATTGCAATTCTTGGTAAATTTAAAATTCAAAAGATTAAAGCAGGTAACTCTTTTATGATTTCATTATTTTCTAGTTGACTTCAAATGAACCCAATGCATCAGCCCCAATGCACATTTAAGTCACTTATTGAAAAAATAAGTCTGTTAAAATAAAAAAGAAAACTTTTATTTATCATACAAATCTGAACCTATTGCTATTCATGTGTTGTTTTACCTGCTCATATTCTGCTTTAATTCTTTTATTACCATTCTAATACCTAATCCACGGAAAGCCATTGCGGGTAGACTTAAAGTCAAAATTTTGGAGAAGTCAAAACTATAAGAGAGAGAATAGAAAGAGAAGCATGGGAAAGTGTATTATGTGATTAAAAAGAAAGGCAGTCAATGTGAGCTGTACCGAACCCAAAGACTTGGAAATGCCACAGTTTCTTCACTTTTCTCGTTGCTTTGGGATAAACTTTTTGGATTGCCAAAAAGAGCAGTCAGACATGGAATCAACTACTCACGGAGACGAAGGGTTCCATCTGCTCTGTGGCCAAATAAACAAGGGCAACAAAAGTAATAAAACTGTTTTGGGTGTCTTGTATTTAGTTTTGAATCAAGTCATAAAGATCTTTATAAATTTAATCGAGGATAAATTTTTTAACTAACCCAGTTATGCAAATCTAACCTTATTTGGGAAAAAAAAAATTTGGAAATCTGACCCATTTCGAAAATTGAAGTTGCTTATCACGAAAATCCAATCCAATCAGGAAACTTGATTATTTGGCTGACATGTATTGTAGATATACTAATACTTGACATATTGGAGCAATTGCTCTCTTGGCCTTGCTTCAAAAAAAAAAACTCCTTGTAATCTATGTCATTTTGAGTTGTACTATGCAATTTTGTGTGTTGCATATTTGTTTTTGTTTTATTAGTTATTTGTGATTTTGTATACAACAACTACAATATTAACAAGAACAATAATAATGTGTCACTTTCTCCTTGTTTACTCACTATAAATATTAATGCTATCTCGCTGAGTTTCATTGGTATCTTCCATTGATTCCATTGGCCTGTAAAATACACAGCCAAATATATATATATATTATTCCAGATCTGTAGATAGTTCATCTAATTAATTAAGCATCTATAATTCTGGTCCTTGCTAAGTTGTTCTCGAGTCCAATGCCAATCAGGTAATGTGATTTTCAAGCACAGCCACAGTGATTTTAAAGGAGTGAAAGTACTCTGTTTTGAGGCACGCCATAACAATGATAATAAAGAAATGAGGGGGAAACTTTTAAAAAATAAAATATTAGTCCTTTTGAAGTCCTAATTTTGAATAGGATGCATACCATCCTTCAGGCCTTGCATGAGTCCTTATTAAGTGTAATGTCACTTTAAATTTTGTTCTGCGACATTTACACCCTAAGAAAAGGGGAGGAGAATAAAAGGGAAAACAACGCGACACTGTTAATAAACCAATTGGATAAAATTAGGTCTGTCAATGGGCTGATTTGAATTAATTTTGCCTAAATTTAAATCTGAATGCAATTTTAAAAAACCCAATCCAAATCTAGCCCAATTATCCGACACATTTAATTTCTTTGGCCATATTTGAATCCATAAAAATTAGACATTTGACCTGAGTACTTATATATATATATATATTAATTCCATGTCAATGCTGATTATCCCCACTTAAATAATCCTTAAAGCTAAAAGTTGTTAGTAATCAACTTCTTAAACAAGGATCTTTGAGCAAATCAGATAAATCTGATGATGACGGCTATACCATTGTAAGATCTAAAAAATCAATTAAAGAGGCCTTTATAGTCAAATCAAAGTTAAATTATGCAGAGTTAAATATTTTACCTGCTTATAGCAGCATAATGACACTCGATAATGAGTGTATTAATTGGATGACATATCTATACTATATTGCTGAGCAATTTATGAAGATGGATAAAATCTTCTTAGTATCTAGAGGAAAGGACAGAATGTATTATGAAGACATTCTTATTGAGACTAATTCTGTCAAATTTCAGAGATTTTTTAACAATAAATATGATGTTAAAGATCCTCAATATAGTAAAGCACTCATCTTAAGAGTGATATCTACTAAAGATTGAGATCTAAATTTAATTATACCCAGGACATTAACAAAACCTCCATATATAGAGTATAATTATTTTGATTTTATTAATGCTTGAAATAAAACATTTTTATATAGTTGTATAAATTTGGGACACTCATGGTTCTTCCAATTCACTGAAATATGTACGGAACTTCCTAACTGGTTTTATGATTGGTAAAAAACCCATAATGCCATTGAAATGATATATCCAAAAAAATAAAAAAATTATTGGACGAGTATAAAGACAAAAGTCCATCCTTAAAGGATAATAATATTGAGGCTAAACTCATTATTAATTTCTCACTCGAATTTTTTGTTCCATGAATTTTGGTGTGGACTTTAGCCTGTGATTTTAATCAAAACAAACACTCTAGATTAATCAAGAAATATCATATCCGATTATGGAATAATTATCATATTGACTCTAAGTGTCAGGTAATTGAAGAATGACTTAAAGACGTGGGAAAAGAGGAAGATGAACCCTGAACCTCAACCTCTAAAAAATTAATTTCCAATAGCTCCAGTATAAATACTGGATTTAACATCATTGAAGTTCTTAAGAGAAGAAATTAAAAAAGAAAATTTTCATTTAAATACTGAGCAGTTTAAAGTAGCAGTGTTGGATGAAATGCGTCTTCAGGTGATGTCTGACTTGATCCAAAATGTGTTCACTCAATTGCAGGCAGTCAAGCTGTAGTAATAATCCAATTAAGTCCGGAGTCAAATCCACAGGGAACTATGATTAGCGTTTTGAAGTAAGCAGTGACAGAGGTCAAGTAACTAAAAATTTTGAGAGTTTGAAGTTATGAGATTTTTTGAACAAAATATAAGATTCTCTCCAATGGATTTTTCTAGATAAAATATAAGATGAATTATCAAAATGTAACAGTCACTCTTTAGTTTGAGAGTCAAAACATGTAATTAATCATCCAGTTTATTATACTTGTACTTTATAACTCAATTAACTCCCGTGTCAACAACAAGTTAATTAGAAGATAAAGATAGATTGTGAGAATTAAGCTCATGGTTTCGATGCCTTTCTTGAAGTTTACAAGAATTGTCTATGTCGAAACTCAACCCGTCTACAAATAAGCAAGTGTTTCTACAAGACATCTAACCATGACATTAATATTGCAGTCTTTAGAAAAAGCATAATAATGGTGAAGATTGAAATATTGTCATGAGGATCTAGTCGGACTACTTACCTTAAACCAACGGATATTTCTATGCAAGAGTCATCTGTGACATAGAATGAACCCAAGGTTATACAAAGTACCTTAACTTTACTAGATACAATCAATCACTCAATAAACAAGTGGAGTATAAAGCATTAAAGCATAAAGGAAATATACAAATATAACTTCCGAATAATTTATACATATTCATCACCTCTTACGAAAGAATGAATGAGGAACTACTCATTCTTCATGACTTTGGTAAAGCTAGAAAAGTGAGTAATACTCATCCCTGCAAGTAGAGGAGTTACAAAGTGAAACACACTAAACAAAGAGCTATTCTTCAACGAAGAATGAGTGAATCACATTCCACCATTCACAGCTTTGGTAAAGGTCTAAAAAAGTGGAAGAGTTTTACTCTTATAAGAAATAAGGAAGTTCAAACAATAGAAGTGAAAGAAATAACAATGAAAGTAGAAGAAAGCTAGTAACTTTTGAAGGGTTACTTCCTTAACCAAAATATGGAGGGTTGCTTCCTCAACCAAAATATAGAGGGTTGCTTCCTCAACCAAAAGATGAACTAATTTCCTTGATACAAGCAAATATACATACATCTAAGGCTAGCTACATGAGTGGGAATCTAAACCTCCATCTAGCTCTCTACCAAGTCTTTACTAGTTATTTGTGTAGTCTAAGCCTTACAAACCAAGTTCTGGTCTACTTCAAGAACCATCTCCACCTCAAAGGCTCCCCCCAGGGGAGTATTTATAGGCAAGGAGGAGGGGGGAACAAGAATAGTGTGAAGGAATAGTGTATGTCACTCAAGTCCAAGTGAAAGCCAACTACTCTGCAGCTTGCTTGTGGAAAACGTTCGAAGGTGATCTGGCGTTCGAACGTTGTCTCTCTCTTTTTACTTTATGGGCGTTCAAACGTTGTCTGGTGTTCGAACATATCTTCTGTCTTTGTTTTATGTGTGTTTGAACTCCAGATAGGATCTGACCTGCTCACTCAAGTGGTTTGTGGTCTTTTGTGGAAACTTATTTCCACACTCCATGCAAATCTTGGCACTTTGCACTCATCATCCTAGTCTTCAATTAATTCAAGTTGACACTCGAACATGATTTTTTGTTCGAACGTGGTACTCAAGTACCTCAGGGTTTTCCTTCTTGACTGCAACACGCATGTCTCAGGAGTCTGATTTTCTCATAGTTCAAGTGGACGTTCGAACGTGAGTTGGCGTTTGAACGTCCTTGCTTTGTTCTAAGCTTCTCTAATTTTGTCCCCCAATATGCTGGTGTTACATCCAAGTGAAAAATTTGTTGTCCTTGAGTCCTTGTTCACTTTAGGACTTGAAAATGTCATGTTCTTAATTCTTAAAATCT